TAATATTGACAAATGTTTAAGCCCCTGCAGTACACAGCATCCATGATCTATGACGTACACCGGCAACCCAAGAAGGCATAATAAAACATGGTTACCTTCTGGATGCGTGTGGGGGGTTCCGTGAAACCCGTGTAAACCTAAAAGGTAAACCTGGTATGGCTGTGGGACTCTAAACCCTAAACTCAAACCCCTAAACCCAGAACCCTATCCCACCCAGTAGTGATCTCATACGGCAATTGTTAAATATCATTGCCCATTGCCCCATTGCCCACTCAGAATGGTATTCCGCCTAGGGTTTAATTAGGGTTTTCAGGGTCTAGGGTCTAAAAGGCCAAAATGAAATCAACCTCATAAGTCGCGTATACCAAGACTAAAGCCTGCAAACCCTGACCAAGGGATCGAAGCCCGTAGAGGTCTCGTAAGATGACAATACATACCCCTAAGGGTCCGAGGACCCAAATACTAGGGTTTTAGGGCCCAAATACTGGGGTTTTAGGGGTATTTGGGCCCTAAAACCCTATTATTTGGGTCCTTGGACCCTTAGGGTACATGAAATCTGGAGTACGTGCAGAAATGTTCTGGGGGTCCAAGTTACAAGTGCATAAAGCTCATACACTTTCCAACGCTTAGAAAAATCTCCCCCAACAAAGCCAATACAAGGTATTTCCAACATAAGTTCCCGTTATAACAGAAGGGGAAGGGGCTAAAATACTGGCCGAGAGTTACCCGGCTACCCCAGGTACCCAGTTCTTGTAAAGGCAAAAAGTTTACGGGATGTCCAGCCCACAAATTAGGGTTAAGGGTTTAGGGTTTTGGATGTTGGCTTCAGGGGCTTTGGTTTAGGGAGTCCCCATAATGAGGATTCGGTATGTTAGCTTCCATCATTGGGGCCCTTTATTCTTGGAAACCTGCAGATACTCAGAAGGGCCATGTACCCAATGATTAGGTACTTGGGATTTGGGTAATAGTTATTGTAGCACAGGGGTCGGGTAAGTATATGATTATTGGGTACTTGGACCCTAAACCCTAAACCCTGTAATTCCTTTCTTGCAAGCACTTAGCTTCCTCATCTCAACTTCGCAAGCGTAGAACTCGGCTTCTCCCCACTCCACAGGAAATCTGGGGATAAACCCTTGATCCCTGAACCCTACACCCTCCTGTCGCCCATACCTTTAAAGGGACCATATAGGTGATACATATATATAGGGCCTATCTAACGCAAAAGAAAACGGGAGCTACAATGTCATAAGTTTTTAGGGTACACCTGTAATCCCAATTACCTTCAGCTCAATTAAAATTACCCCTGAATTAGTAGGTATAACCCATAACACCGTAAGTAATTGGGGTCACGGGTCAGCCCTACAAGATCTGGAGTCCAGGTAAATTTAAACCCTAAACCTCCAACATGCGAGGTTGAGCCTACTACTCCCCTCACCCTAGTCTTAGGTATTTATGTCCCCCCGCCGTAATCCTAAATATTCCCAATACTTATGGTACAGTATACCACACAAAGGAAATATTGAATAGCAAGGAGGGGACAATATTGGTTCGAATTGGGGTGAGTGGATCACCTGAGAGAGAGATTCGGCAGTTGCTGTTGTGGTAGCCTGGCAAAAACGACTGGCCTTACCGCTTGAATGGAGGACACATCTTGGGATCCTTGTATGCGTCGTGATCCTTGATGTCTGGAGCTCCCTGGAGTACTCCGTGATCAAACCACAAGAAAAACTAGGTCAACATCGTCAGGTTTGGAAAGTGCGCGCTTACGGCCGAAACCATTTGGGGTTGTATAAAAACCCC